TTAGGGGTTTATGGTTGAGGGGTTTAGGGTTTATGGGGTTTAGGGTTGAGGGGTTTAGGGTTTAGGGTTTATAGGGTTTAGGGTTGAGGGGTTTAGGGTTGAGGGGTTGAGGGTTTAGGGTTTGGGGTTTAGGGTTTATAGGGTTTAGGGTTTATAGGGTTTAGGGTTTAGGGTTGAGGGGTTTAGGGTTTTAGGGTTTTAGGGCCAAGAGCCAGGGTTTCGGGGTTCCAGAGTACTGCAGTTTATCGCTTTGGGGTTAGGGTAGAGGGTTTAGTGTTGAGACTTTTGAGCTTCGACAAAAAGATGATGGAGTTCAGACGGCTTGCTGGAAGACTACGAAAATAACTTACTGGGTATTATACCAAGTAAACCCTAAACCCTAAACCGATAGGCCCCACGTGGCCGAACCCATGCGGCAGAAGGCTTCTTCACCTCGCTTGCGCCTCCACGCACTGAGCCCGAAGCCTAACGCCCGAACTCGTCTAAACCCTCCGTAATGTAGGGGCCTTGAAAATTGGAATAGGGTTTTGGGGGTTCCTTATTATAATTACAGTACAATATGCCCCCAAACCCTATTCTGATTACTACGGCCCCTATATTCCTTGAACAGCCATTTGAAGCGTAACCTTAAGTTACCCGAATAGAACCCTGGTAGATCCCTGACAGGACCTGACCAACCTTCAACGGCTCACCTCTGGGTGCTTTGCTTCCCCCACACTGCCGCAGGGGCCGACAGGGTTAAGCCCACAGAGTCAGTTAAACATGACATTAGAGTTGCGAGATTGTAGGCTTTAGGTACTTTAGGGCTTATAAGGATTGAAGATGTTTGAAAGATTTAGGGTGTAGGGCTAAACTGAGGGCGGACCGCCCCACACCCGTAGGTGTTGTGAGGTGGGTGGTGGTCCAAAACCCTCCACAACATGGCACAGAAGCAAAACAAAAAGAGGGGCGGAAGTTGCCGAAGCCGGCAGCCCTAAACCCTATCAGCCCTGCGGTCCTAACCCTAAACCCTAAACCCGGTTTAGGGTTTAGGGTTTAGGGGTTTAGGGTTTAGGGTTTACCCTAAACCCTGAAGTAGTTAGTAGCCCTAAACCTGAAAAGGTGGCGGTAAGGTCCATGCTGGTCGGCGGCCGTCACCTCAACTTTCAGCACCTCGGGCGCCTCTTGGCTGGGTTGGTCTCGGGTTTAGGGTTTAGCGGTTTAGGGTTTAGGGTTTAGGTTTTAGGGTTTAGGCTATAGGGTGTTATAGGGGTCTTGCACTGTTCACAGGGCTTTATAAAGTTTATAGGGTCTTCCGAAGCTCTTCTGGGCTTTCCCGGATTTTGTTTAGGTGGGGACCCATTAACAATTGGAATACGGTTTTGCGGGTATTATAAAAGTATAATCTTATATTGGGACAGTTTGGGGACACTGTCTACTACTTATTCCTGCCCTTCTATTCTGCGCTCGTGCGGGTAATGGCGACAGCGCGTTCGGAGAAACCCTCAACCCTAAACCGTGGCTCTGCCGGGCTTTGGTGCTGTAGGCAGAAACTTTAGGCTTCAGGGAGGCCCCTCAGTGCCCTCTAATAGAGACGTTAGGGTTTAGGGTTTAGGGTTTAGGGTTTAGGGTTCAGGGTTCAGGGTTTAGGGTTCAGGGTTTAGGGTTTAGGGTTTAGGGTGTGGGGTTCAGGGTTTAGGGTTACGGTCCTTAATCTAGGTGCCGCGGCAACCCCTTAATGATAAGGGTATCCGTTTTCCTAGTATTCGGTTAAAAGAAAGGGGACCCCCCCCAAAAAAAAGAGGGGAACCGGGTACAACTCAGGAACCTACATAGTAATAGAGTGAGGGCGTCTAGGTTCTCCGTGGGAGGGGGTTGGTCGCGACGCATTGACCATGGACCTCTAAACCCTACATCCTAAACCCTACTAAGTGTAGTTCTTGGCCAGCTGAGCCCCTAAACCCCAAACCCCTAAACCCTAACCCAATATCGGGGCCTAAATAATTAGAATAGGGTTTGGAGTTTGGGGGGTATATTCTACTATATAATTACAATACGGAACTCCCCAAACCCTATTCTAGTTATTAAGGCCTCTACGTTACTGTAAAGCCCTGCATCCTAAACTACCCTAAAGCGCTAAACCACAAACCCAGTCGCACATGGGTAGTTCTCTAATTCAGAGTCCCTTTTCGGGGTCCTTCTTCTAAGGGTGCCGTACTATAAATATTGGGGACCTGAAAAGGGGCCCTAATTTAGAGAACCACCCCTAAACCCTAAACCCTAAACCCCTAAACCCCTAAACTCTAAACCCCTAAACCACAAGCCCCTAAACCACAAACCCTAGTCCTACATGAAAGGAGCCCTTTGCTGCTGAAAACTCGTTACCTCCAGGCTCTTTCTTTAACGAGTCCTTTGGAGGCTTCCCTATAACGGTTCCTTTAAACCCAAATTTAAAGGAAACTACAGGTGGGGAGTTTAGGGTATATAGGGCTTCTATAAGGCTCCTATAACGGTAGCTACCCAAATGGCTTCTTTCTATCGGGGTTCATAAGGTCTTGTAGGATGGTATCTAGGGGAACCTGTCCTGGCCAGAGAGGGGTTATCACTCGGGCCGATAGGGACTAGAAGGAGACATTTTTCAAACTTATGCAGACTCTCTCTTGCCCTAAACCCTAAACCCTAAACCCCCAAGTTGCCGTGTGTAGAGGTCTGGGTTGAAGCTTTGGAGAGAACTTCCAATGTAGACTCCAGAGCTATCCACGTCAAGGCCTCAACCAGGAAAGCACTAGTACAACGAACAACCTTCATAGCTAGAAATGGGCTGTTAGAAATATTCTAGTAGTTATAATCATGGTATGGGAATCATGAGGGAAGAACACTACTCATTATTCAGCCCACCGCATTAACACCCTCCATGAGACCTAAACCCCTAAACCCCTACACCCGAAACTCTAAACTCGAAGCCCCTGAACCCAAAACTCGACCAAAGTCTATAAAAGGACTCGCAGTGCGTCAGATGTTGCTGTTATGACTTCGGCTGGCGGCCCGACTGTGCGGGCTTCCCGACCCAGATTTGCGTACAACGGTTTAAGTGGGAGTTAGGATGAGAGGGACCCTTGGAGATATAGACCCTGTCAATAAGGTCCCTTTTAAGAGAGCCATAAGCAGGGATACGAAGGGTCCCCTTTAAGCGGTCTCCCTAATACTACCTAGGATTAAGGTTCAGGTTTAGGGAAGTTTAGGGTTTCGCTTTCAGGGTCTACGGCCTAGGGTTTGGGGCTCTAAGGCCTCTAAGGCAAGCTTAAGGGTTTAGGGTTTAGGGTTTAGGGTTTAGGGTTTAAGACCAATTAAAGAATCGATGGGATGTACGGCCCACATTTACCGTTGTGGTGTGGGGCTGCACATGGTCAAGTCGGCGAAAGTAATATAGGGGCCTTGATAGTATGAATGGGGTTTTGGGGTATATTCTGCCATAATTAAATAAGGACCCCCCCCCCCCAAAAAAAAAAAAAACATAGTATTGGTAATTATCTAGGCCCCTATATTACGCTAACAGCACATGTGCGATGTGAAGCGCATAAACTATCGCAGCATAGATTGCCAAACTTTGGTCGCCCGTGTCACGAATGTGCACAAAGATGCTTGGACGCGCTCGGAGTTCCAACACGGCCTTGATGTTCTTCCACGCCGGAGGCGGTCATGATCAAACCGCTGTGCACTCTGTAGCTGAACTTGCGCCCCCCTGCGCTGCTGTGAGCACCATAAGGCCCCTGGTCGGATCTGTTGTCCCGTAGACCAGCCAGCTAATAGCAGCGTTTGCTTTGCCCCATCTGCTTCAGTCTACCACGAATTATTGAGCTGATCTTGTACCGCAGTGCTGTCACCACCAAACGAAGCAAGACCCCAGGTCACGACGGACCCGTCGTCCAGGATCGCAGCAAAGGCTTGACGATTTGCTTGGATGTGCCGCACATTCTTCAGCTGATCTTGCACTGCGCTGCTGTCTCCACCAAGGCCCGCACGGCCCCAGGCCACGACGGATCCATCGCCCAAGATTGCGGCAAAGGCCTGGTAAGTCGCTTGAACTTCTTGCACATTCTGCAACCGATCTTGCACCGCACTGCTGTCCCCACCAAGGTCTGCAGCGCCCCAGGAAACGACAGAGCCATCACCCAAAACGGCAGCAAATGCCCCCCCTGTTGCTTGAATCTGCTGCACATTCACCAGCTGACTTTGGACGGCGCTGCTGTCGCCACCACACCAAGCACTTCCCCAGGTTACCACGGATCCATCGTGCCGGATTGCGGCAAATGCCTGGCAAAATGCTTGTCCAGGTTCCTGTGACGGGGCAGTGCTTTGAATCTGCTGCACAGTCTTCAGCTGATCCTGCACTTCACTACTGTCACCACCACAGGCAGCATTGCCCCAGGTCACGACGGATCCATCATCCAGGATTGCGGCAAATGCGTGGCGATTTGCTCGAATCTGTTGCACTTTCTTCAAGCGATGTTGCACTGCGCTGCTGTTCCCGCCACAGTTGGCAGCGCCCCAAGTCACAACGGATCTGTCGGCCAAGATCGCAGCAAATGCATGGCCAGTTGCGGAAATCTGCTGCACATTCCTCAGCTGCTCTTGCACAGCACTGCTGTCACCACCAGACCCAGCATGACCCCAGCTCACGACGGATCCATCTCCCAAGATTGCGGCAAAAGCCTGGAGAGTTGCGTGGACATGCTGTACATCTTTCAGCTGATCCCGAACCTGGCTGCTGTCCCCACCGACCCAAAAACATCCCCAGCTCACGACAGATCCATCGAGCAGTATTGCAGCGAATGCTTGGTGAGTTGCCTGCATCCGCAGGACTTTCTTTAGCTGACCTTGCACCGCACTGCTGTCACCGCCGGCCCATGCTCCTCCCCAGGTTACGACAGATCCATCGTGCAGGATTGCGGCAAAGGCATCACCGTTGGACTGAATCTGCTGCACATTCTTCAGCTGATCGTGCACCGGACTGCTTTTGCCACCAGACACAACAGAACCCCAGGTCACGATGGATCCGTCACCCAGAATTGCAGCGAAAGCCTTTTCACCAGAACATATCTGAACACTTCCTACGTGCAAAGCCAGCGCTTCCCTGTTACGTAGCCTAGCTTCCTTGACCGAGGCTTTTTCGTGCAGAATGCCTCCGGTGGAGGTCAGCATTCGGCCTTTGCCAACTCCCAAAGCCCTCCGCGCGCGCAGCTGCAGGGATTCTACAGACTCAGTGAGATGTGATTCCAAGGAGACTGTTTTCCCACTGATAAGGCTGACCTCAACAGTCAACGACATTCTAAATTCCAGCTTCGGTCACGAAGCACCCAGTAGAAGCGACGACTCGGAGCGAATAGCGCTTGCGGCTTCTGGTTTTCTTGCGGTGTTTTTGTTTTGTGGGTTCAGGAGTTTGCTTCGTTTTGTTTGGTTTAAGTTATTTTAGGCCAAGGGTTTATGTTTTTAGGGCTTAGATGTGGAATTGTGGGATGTCTCTGGTTTTATTGTGTGCCGACACCCTCAAACTTAAATCCCTAAACTCTGAACCCTAAACCCTAAAACCCTTAAGCCCCTAAACCCTGCAAGCCCTAAACCCCTAAAAGCCCTCGAGTCCTAAACGATAAACCGTTACGAATGTTGTTGGTACCCAGCGAAATCTTGAGCCGTCTGACACCTTGCGGATTTGCCGACGTGCTAATCTGGATCTGCCCAGAGAGCCCTATACCCGTTCATTAAGGATTATACGGTTTGGATTACAGCGTTTAGGGTTTAGGGAGCCCAGTACCCACTAAGTAATATAAGGAATGTACCTTTACACATAAGGTCGTATGATGATTTAGTTAGGTTATATTCTTTGATTGAGGGGTATTGGGCTCTGTGGGTGATAGGGTATTGTTATAAAGGGTTTAGGGTTGGAGGGGTATCTATGAGCATTCGTGGAGTCTTCCATAGGTTTCTTGGTGTGGACACCCCAGCAAGGTGCAGAAAACATACAGGCTGCCGACACTTGAGGATCAAAACTTACATGTAGAAATTAGACAACAATGAATACAGCCCGAGCTTAACCTCCCGCTACTTGAAACCCAATACATCGATGCTTCCTGCCTCTACTGTTAGAGCCCTAAGCCCTACCCTGAGCTCGTCTGGTTCTACAACTGAGCTCAGCTTCTTCTCTTGCTGTCGGGCCGGCCACCAAACACCAAAGATAACAGGGTTCTGTGGGTATCAGTAGACATACATTAAGAGCGTGAATACTGCTACACGGATAATTCAGAGCACCACAAATTGCGGGTATTTCAACGACTGGGTAGACCGTTTAGGGTTTAAGGCTTAGCGTTTCGGGTTTTGGGTTTAGGGTTTAAGGGAGACTCCTTTTCAAGGGTTCGAGATTGTGCAAGGATTGTGGTGAAAAACATTGAAGCCTCTGAGGAGCCAGTTATCTGGGTTCAAAACAAGAACTGCGCTCATAGCTTCAGGGGATCTTCAAACCACGATCTAAAACCCTACTGACCCTCGGCTTTCGCCCAAAAAAAACCCTGAACCCGAAATAAATCGAAGCTGACAAGAACATGAATGCAACTCGTTCTAGTTACCAGAGTGGGGGCTCCCAGGTACACCTCCTAAACCCTAAACCCTAAACCCTAAACCCTAAACTCAATCCTTAACCGTTAACCTTTACAATCCGGCCCGCCTCCGCTGGGTACATGTCGAAGGTGACCTGACGGCTCAAAGTCAAAGTAGGATCTGATGGGGGTTTAGGGTTTAGGGTTTAGGGTTTAGGGTTTAGGGTTTAGGGTTTAGGGCTTAGGACATCAGGGTTTACGGTTCATGGTGCTTTTTCGTAGAGCTTTTCGTAAGGGTTTTACGGGAATTGCAGCGTGATTCTGCGGGTAATTCATGGTAATTCTGTAAGTTAGAATCCACTGTAAGGGGTTTAAGGCTTGGGTTTAGGGGTTTTGGTTTCGGCAGTCTAGCGTTCATGGGGTTTACTGCAATACTTTCATTTTCGTCTCTCTGCTATATACTACGCTACCATGGACATTGCGAAAGTACAGCGAATTAGCACATGATATCATAATTTTAGACATTGCGCTGCTAACCACAGTGCAGGGCATTGTTTGTCCGTTGCCTCATGTCGACATACGAGAAAACGCTTCCTCACTACATCACTACATCACAGCTACAATTCCAAATTATTTTGCTGCTCCGCTGTGCTCTGAAACTTCCTATTATAGTTGCGCGCTTAACGAGCACCACTTGACCTGCATACTGACAGACAGACAGATAGACAAACAGACAGACAGACAGACAGACAGACAGACAGACAGACAGACAGACAGACAGACAGACAGACAGACAGACAGACAGACAGACAGACCCACGGACGGACGGACGGACAGACGAACAAACAGACAAACACACACACACATATATATATATATATATGCTACCCCCCCCCTCAGTTATCTACCTGTTTCGGTGGCTTTCCAGGAATACCCTGTTGAATACCTTAATATGCCTTACATATGCCGTCTAGAATACCTATAGAGTAGCCTATAGATAGGGATTCTTTAAAT